CGGATGGCACATGCAGGTAGACCAGCCAGGAGGGAGTTGCAGTAGTCTAGGCGTGAGATGACGAGAGCCTGGACCAGAACCTGCATCGCTTTCTGTGTCAGCTGGGGACGTATCTTCCTGATGTTGTAAAGCGTGTATCTGCAGCAACGGGTTGTAGCAGCGATGTTTGCAGTGAAGGACAGGTTGTTATCTAGGGTCACACCCAGTTATCTAGGCCCACACCAAATCCCGCCGCGGATGGGAATACATTGCAATCAGTTGAAAGCTACTTGCGTCCCTTTATGAAGCTGAAGGAGCCTAGGAGCGTCACAACTGCACGCCACGGACACTGACCAAACGTCGCTCCTGGACGATTATGGAGTGAGAGTGTGTTGGTTAATCGCGTTAAAATAATTAGTGGCATTAATTTTTGTTATTAACGTGTTATTAACGCGTTATTAACGTGTTATTAACGCGTTATTAACACGTTATTAACGCGTTATTAACGCGTTAACTTGACAGCCCTACTAATTATATTTAAAAACATTTTAGAAGGCCTCACGAAATACTTTAATGTACATTTAAATTTAAATGTGAAGGGATGTGTGTAATGTGGTGATTATTATTCACACATGGATCTATGGGTTACTTTATTCCGAGTTTGTTTGCTTTTCTCTTTGGAAGTCATGACATAACGGCATTGTAATGCACGGTTCGGCTGCATTGAATATTACATATCTGCCGTAGTTTGCTATTTATAGAGCCCTGATGAGAAGACTTCTAGACAAACAGGAACAACTGCAGCCGAAACTGAATATGTGACGATATATCAGCAATCAAACAAAATCTTCAATTTCTCTTCACAATATAAATCTCTTTGCAGTATCAATACTAATTCGGCTGACTTTTATATTTGATCCAATCGGTATATTGGTATATTTACACCATAACGGTGCACAGATGATAGAAAGGGACACCTGGTGGTTAAAGCACGTTATTGAAATGTATTATTTTTATTATTAGATATTAATAGGAGACACAGACAGACAAACTAATAAGGATGTATTTAAACATTAAAGAATACTTTAGGTTACGGTCTTATTTTGAATAAGAAAAAAGCTTTGGGGGTATAAATATTAAGCCTGACAAAGTACTAATATATTGCTTTCCTGCAATGTTAACTACTGTATGTTTAAGCACTTATTTTAACTGATATTATACATATGTATTATGTAAGGAACATGTCTGTCTTATGGACATAGTTAACATGGGACTTTTCCTTAAAATGTACTGAAGTCCGCACAATGTAAATGTGATGTCAACTACAAATGCAAATTCCCTGCCAAGGGCAAGACAAATGTTACCAACTATGCCTACACACATGCAACCCTTGGGGGTTCTATTTTTTTGTTATTCAGTGTTAACAGGGGCACGAACTTCTGACCGGTGTTCCCTCTTGGTTTAGTCCGTGGGGGAGTGCTTAAGTGTGGGTACACAGGTTCACCTGGTGCACAAGGTTATGGAGGTGGGGGTCTTGCTGGTGCTCAAGTGCCCATAACATCACCCCATATTCCCATGACTGGTACCCGCCTTAAGAGACACTATTTCGGGCTACACTTTATCCATGTTGACTCCTGGTTCTTCCCCTTGTTACCCTGATTGTATGTTGGTGGCCGTGGAATAATGCAATGTGGAGTTCCAATGCAAATCGGCTAATGTCCAGTCGCTGGCAGGACATCTTCCCATGACTGGTACCCGCCTTAAGAGACACTATTTCGGGCTACACTTTATCCATGTTGACCCCTGGTTCTTCCCCTTGTTACCCTGATTGTATGTTGGTGGCCGTGGAATAATGCAATGTGGAGTTCCAATGCAAATCGGCTAATGTCCAGTCGCTGGCAGGACATCTTCCCATGACTGGTACCCGCCTTAAGAGACACTATTTCGGGCTACACTTTATCCATGTTATGTGGATGAAATGGACCCAATTCCCGGAGGTTCTGGGCCGAATTTGGGAGCTCATCGGCGGCCTGTCATGCACCCCCAGCCGTGGAAAGCAAAAAAAAGTAAATAAAACGGTCAATTACATGTTAAAATAATCAACAATGAAGTTCCTGTCCATTTCATGTACATTTCCTCGTGTCCATTTCATGTACATTTCCTCGTGTCCATTTCATGTACATTTGATGGGGGAGTCACATGTGGATGAAATGGACCCAATTCCCGGAGTTTCCGGGCCGAATTTGGGAGCTCATATGCGGCCTGCCGTGCACCCCCACCCGTGGAAAGCAAAAAAAAGTAAATAAAACGGTCAATTATATCTTAAATTCATCAAAAACGTAGTTTTAAAAAATTCTCGAAAAACGGCTAAGTGCCAACGGGTGAGGGGCTCAAGTATTCGGCGCTTCCGGCGGAAGCCCCGGAGACATTTCCACTGACCCGTTGCAATTTTCAACGTAGAGGGGAAAACTGACCCCCCCTCCTCCGTTAACAATTTTCATTCATCTTTTCCAAGCTACCTTCTGCACGAAATCGGAAACCCGGTTTTTGAGAGCACTTAGAAAAAAACGGCCTATTTCTCATGATGGAGAAATCATGGAGGAATGCGTCCGATGAGTGAGCACTTTGGATCGGATACAATTGTTGCCCGGAGGACCCCCAATCACGGTTCTTACAAAACTTTAAGTTTTCGAACTGGCCTCTGGAGGAATTCAAGGGGAGTTACCACGGAATAACGAGGCAATATTTCCGGACACATTTTATCCATTTTCACCCCTTTTCTGCGGTTCTTCCAAAAGTTAACTTTAACTTTTTCTGACTCTGGAGGAATGTAGGGTGAGTTGTCAGGGGACTCTATCCGCCTTAGGAGGCACTATTTCCGGACACATTTTATCCATTTTCACCCCTTTTCTGCGGTTTTTCCAAAAGTTAACTTTAACTTTTTCTGACTCTGGAGGAATGTAGGGTGAGTTGTCAGGGGACTCTATCCGCCTTAGGAGGCACTATTTCCGGACACATTTTATCCATTTTCACCCCTTTTCTGCGGTTCTTCCAAAAGTTAACTTTAACTTTTTCTGACTCTGGAGGAATGTAGGGTGAGTTGTCAGGGGACTCTATCCGCCTTAGGAGGCACTATTTCCGGACACATTTTATCCATTTTCACCCCTTTTCTGCGGTTCTTCCAAAAGTTAACTTTAACTTTTTCTGACTCTGGAGGAATGTAGGGTGAGTTGTCAGGGGACTCTATCCGCCTTAGGAGGCACTATTTCCGGACACATTTTATCCATTTTCACCCCTTTTCTGCGGTTCTTCCAAAAGTTAACTTTAACTTTTTCTGACTCTGGAGAAATAAACGGCCTATTTCTCATGATGGGGAAATCATGGAGGAATGCGTCCGATGAGTGAGCACTTTGGATCGGATACAATTGTTGCCCGGAGGACCCCCAATCACGGTTCTTACAAAACTTTAAGTTTTCGAACTGGCCTCTGGAGGAATTCAAGGGGAGTTACCACGGAATAACGAGGCACTATTTCCGGACACATTTTATCCATTTTCACCCCTTTTCTGCGGTTCTTCCAAAAGTTAACTTTAACTTTTTTTGACTCTGGAGGAATGTAGGGTGAGTTGTCAGGGGACTCTATCCGCCTTAGGAGGCACTATTTCCGGACACATTTTATCCATTTTCACCCCTTTTCTGCGGTTCTTCCAAAAGTTAACTTTAACTTTTTCTGACTCTGGAGGAATGTAGGGTGAGTTGTCAGGGGACTCTATCCGCCTTAGGAGGCACTATTTCACCCAGTTTTGGCTCCCGCCTTGCCTGGATGATAGGACCGATAGATGACAGGGATCTCTGCCCGCCTAACGAGTGCCTAAATGGAACACCTTTCGCACGATTATGCAAAGGGGAAACTCAATGTTTTCAAAATAAACCGGAGAGATTTGACATGGGGTCTTTCTAGTTCGCTGAGTGCAACTTTCTTCTTTTCACCTGTCCTCCCGGTTCGATACATTATACTGGTGACACTTCCCGGTACCGAAATGCTCAGGCATACAAAAAAGATGGCGATCGGTTGTCCTATCTGTAATAGTCCCTTCCGCGCCCTGAGCAAGCACCTGCAGAGGAACCATAGTGTGCGTAATTTAGTTGAAAGAAGAATTCTGCTGTTGTTGGCGAAAGGACGGATAAACATTAGGCTCCATCCCTGCATCATTGCAGGATGCGAGTACAACGGGACAAGGCTGGACCGCCACTTGTACAGAGGCCATGTTGAGCTGTCCCGGCAGGAAATACATGTGGTTTTAACTAAACTAAAAAAGAAAGTGGCCACGAATGAGCTTCATGAACTCAGATTGACAAACCCCACAGTAGCAATGATTACCTCTTGGGATGTGGACACTGTGGGTGATGATGTCCTGTCAAAACCTCCACCCTTGTCCCCAGTGATTGAATGTGACAACCCGGACTGTAAGGAACGGAGGATGTATGCAAACAGAATGAGGGCTCAGGTGGACATATATGCTGCTGAGGTGAAATCCCTGCGCTGCATGCTGCAGCAGAGGATAAATCGTAGCCGACAGAGGATGAACCAGAGGGCCGATGACATGCTTGGGTTCGATGAAGATGATGGGGAGAACCAAGAGCGGGTGTTTCTAAGGAAACGATCTCGAACAAAGTCAACACCAAATAGGCTGTCCAAGTCCAAAGGTCCCTACTGCAGGAAGTCCCCCATTGCCTCTCACACACCTGTATCCAGCTCCATAGATACCGATGCCTCGTCATCCTCCCCTCCCATACATTCCCCCTGGTTCAGCGGCAGGGGCCGGGGGAATCGAATGCGGGACATTACATTCCCACGCATCATGGAGAAGTATCTGTAAGGCTACCGGGACCATTATGAGGGCATCGACCCAACAGTGAGGCTCCAAGAAAACGCAGTCTCCAAAATAAGCAGAGTGAAATCATTCCTAAGCTTCATGGCACACGGTTTCAATCCGTTTCAAAACTGGCTCTTTTTGAGGGATCTGAAGAGGATACGTGGGTGGTCCCGGAGCCTGATAAAGTCAAGCCTACAGGTCACGACATCTGACTTCTATATCAAAAATATATCGCACTTTCTCAAGTACATGGAGGAAACGCCATGCAAGGGGAGCAGGCTCAACCAAAATGACATGATTTTAATCACACGGGAAGTTTCTGCCATCCTGAAGTCCATGAGAAAGAAGGTGGTTATCCACCAGATGCAGGTGAAGCGGGACAAGATGGAAGGTCTGCCAAGCCATAAAGACATCATGGCATGTTTGACTGCGGCCAAAACTCGCATCCCTCAGCTCCTGGACGTGATGACCAGTAATCCGACTAACGCAACCCGGACCCTGCTCTATGGGTACATGACCCTCAATTGGAGCTGCATTTATGGGCACCGTCCGGGGGTCTACTCTAACATGACCAACGCGGAGGTCCGAAAGGCGGAGACAACTGGCACTGCCTTTGGCTTCCTCATCCACGTGAGTGAGCTATTAAAAAATGTGTTTATTCTGGCAGTGATACACATGTTGTGGATGATTGACGCTCTCTAACTCTGTCATAACAGGTAAGCAACCACAAGACGGCCAACGTGTTCGGGGAAGCGCAGCTGTACCTCACCACAGAAGAATTTGGATGGATGAAGAGGTGGCTGGAAATCAAGGGGACGCTGACCGGCACCAACAACCGCTACTTCCTCTGCACAGCGGGGAAGAACCCATCGAGGAACCTTGCCTCCTTCCTGAGGTTGGCATGGACTGATGTGGGACTAAAAGGTCCCATTAATTTCACCGACCTCCGCACAGTCCATGCCGATAATGCGAAGAGGTTTCAGGACATAGGCAACCGCCAAAGAGTGAGTGATTTCATGTGTCACAACACTGCAACTGCAGACACATTTTATGCCAAGAATCCTTCTTTGAAGGATGCTGCGGACATACGTATGCTCTTCACAGAGTCACTGCAAGCAGCGGCCGCAGCAGCATCAGGGGGGAGTGAAGACAATTTGGGGTACATTGACATCCACAGTGACCGTGACAGCTCTGGAGAGGAGCATAGCCCCACTCCCTACCAAGACTCCCCCGATACCGAGACGTCAGATGAAGACTTCAACGCTTGGAGAGCGGCGAAGAGGGAACAGTCAATGGCCGAACACAGTCCCTCAGACACGGGTGAAGAGAGGGTGCCAGCCTCTGCACCAACTTCACCCGATACGGACAATGATGCCAGTGACCAACTTGTAAATATGCAATGTTTTGTTGTACTCAGTCCCCTTTTGCTGGATGAGTGAATAATGTTATATAATGTTATAAAGTGTCAATGTATATATTTCTGTAAATAAAGTTTGTTAAAATTACTTAATTTAACCTATTTTTTATAACCCAATATGGGTGTTTCCCCTATAAGATGCCCAGGGGCACGAGGTTCTGGTGGTGTGCATGAAGGGGTTTAGTCCGCGTGAGGAGTGCCCAAGTGTGGGAGGATGTGTAAGGCAGAGGAGGGTAAAAAAAAAGTTAAAGTGTGAACCTCCAGCAGGGCAGGTGGTGCTGCGGTGAATAAGGCCGAATATGGATGCCGATTTGCGGACGGTAAAGCACCGCAAAATACACCACCTTTAAGTGTTACCAGGGCCATGAGAACATCCTCCACAGGAGGGTGGGTGGTGCTGCTGTGAATAAGTCCGACTATGGATGCCGATGTAAGGACTGTAAAGCACCGCAAAATACACCCCCTTATCGGTTACCAGGGCCATGAGAACATCCGGTACAGGAGGGTGGGTGCTGCTGTGAATAAGGCCGACTATGGATGCCGATGTGCGGACTGTAAAGCACAGCAAAATACACCCCCTTATAGGTTACCAGGGCCATGAGAACATCCTCCATAGGAGGGGTGGTGCTGCTGTGAATAAGGCCGACTATGGATGCCGATGTGCGGACGGTAAAGCACCGCAAAATACACCCCCTTATAGGTTACCAGGGGCACGAGTTTCTTGAGGGTGTAATCATCTGGGTTTAGTCCGTGGGGGAGTGCTTAAGTTCGGGGGCCCGGGGTCCCAAGGTGCGTGAGGTTATGGAAGTACGCATGTCAGGGAGATATGCTGGAGGTCTGTAGTCCGTGTTTTGGGGCTCTGTGAGCGGCCACATAGAGGTGGTTTTCCCGGTGTATGTCATGGAAGTCTGACATAGCCTGTGTCCTGTGAAATAGCCTGTTTGCCCATGTCAAATCTTATTAGGAGGCACTATTTTGGGATACATTTTATCCATTTTAAGACCTTTCTCTGGTTCTTCCAACACTTATACTTATTTAGCCTGTGGAGGAATGCAAGGGTAGTTATCAGGGGAGTCTACCCGCCTTAGGAGGCACTATTTTGGGATACATTTTATCCATTTTAAGCCCTTTCTCTGGTTCTTCCAACACTTATACTTATTTAGCCTGTGGAGGAATAAAAGGGTAGTTATCAGGGGAGTCTACCCGCCTTAGGAGGCACTATTTTGGGATACATTTTATCCATTTTAAGCCCTTTCTCTGGTTCTTCCAACACTTATACTTATTTAGCCTGTGGAGGAATGCAAGGGTAGTTATCAGGGGAGTCTACCCGCCTTAGGAGGCACTATTTTGGGATACATTTTATCTATTTTAAGCCCTTTCTCTGGTTCTTCCAACACTTATACTTATTTAGCCTGTGGAGGAATGCAAGGGTAGTTATCAGGGGAGTCTACCCGCCTTAGGAGGCACTATTTTGGGATACATTTTATCCATTCTGTACATTTGTCTGACCGCGACTGGTAGTTAATGTCGCTACGGGGGACGCGTATATCCCTAAGGTATGTAAGGGATAATGTGCAGAGACGCGGTCATTATGATAATCCAAATCAAAAAGCTCCTCAAAAACACTATCGAAGCAGTTCCTGCCATTGTTACGTTAGTTCAAACGGTAACAACTGTCATAGTCTGCTCCATCATTCACCAGTACTTTTCCATTCACCTTTCTCACCTGTTTTTCACACCCACTCATTAGCTCACTCTCTTTCTCTTCTGCACCCATTAGCTTCTGCCAGTATTTAAACCCTCACCTTTCACACACTCTTTGCCAGATTGTACTTTGCCTCATGCTTGTATTTCCCGCGTTTGAAACTAGATTGCCTACCCGGTTCCAACCCTGCCTGTCCTCGATCTGCCTGCTCTGCCTGTTCCCTGATCCTGCCTGTCCCTCGACTATCCTGTCTGGCCTGTTATCCGACCCTGCCTGTATCTACGCTGACCTTTGGCTTACTCCCTGACTCTCTGCCTGTCCCTGACTCACCTTCTGCCCGCTGTCCTCCGGTGCGTTAAACTGCTCGGTTGGTATTCCTCAGATCCAGTGGAATCTCCAATAAAGTTTATTACCAATTATCCTTGGTTTCTTGAGTGCTGCATTTGGGTTCTCCTTAAGATTGTGACAACAACGGACTATTTTTCTTAGCGGATGCATGTCAATTTAAATCAATACATACAACTATTTTTTAAATCAATAAAATCATTTTCTAAATCCATAAAAGCATTTCAATGAATATTGGGAGTCATGACGTTACTTTGTTGAGAATGTGGCCATGTAATAAGCGGGATAATGTGCAGCGACTTGGTCATTATGGGGAAAAGACCACCGACAGGCTGATCAGGAGCCCGACGCGAAGCGGAGGGATCTAGATCAGCCTCACATTATCCCTTACATTCCTCCAGAGTGAGGAAATACTCTGTTATATTTTGGGAGAACTAGAGAAAAGGGGAGAAAATGGAGAAATTGTATCCCCAAATAGTGCCTCATAATGCAGGTAGAGTCCCCTGACAACTCCCCTTACATTCCTCCAGAGTCAGAAAAAGTCTAAGTTAACTTTTGGAAGAACCAGAGGAAGGGGTGAAAATGGATAAAATGTATCCGAAAATAGTGTCTCTTAAGGCAGGTAGAGTCCCCTGACAACTCCCCTCACATTCCTCCAGAGTCAGAAAAAGTCCAAGTTAACTTTTAGAAGAACCAGAGAAAAAGGGTGAAAATGGAAGAAATGTATCCGAAAATAGTGTCTCTTAAGGCGGGTAGAGTCCCCTGACAACTCCCCTCACATTCCTCCAGAGTCAGAAAAAGTCTAAGTTAACTTTTAGAAGAACCATAGAAAAGGGGTGAAAATGGATAAAATGTATCCGAAAATAGTGTCTCTTAAGGCGGGTAGAGTCCCCTGACAACTTCCCTCACATTCCTCCAGAGTCAGAAAAAGTACAAGTTAACTTTTAGAAGAACCATAGAAAAGGGGTGAAAATGGATACAATGTATTCGAAAATAGTGCTTCATATGCGGGTAGTGTCTGCCCAAACTCCCCTCACATTCCTCCAGTCAGAAAAAAGTATAAGTTAACTTTTAGAAGAACCACAGAAAAGGGGTGAAAATTGATAAAAATGTATCCGAAAATAGTGTCTCTTAAGGTGGGTAGAGTCCCCTGACAACTCCCCTCACATTCCTCCAGAGTCAGAAAAAGTCTAAGTTAACTTTTGGAAGAACCATAGAAAAGGGTGAAAATGGATAAAATGTATCCGAAAATAGTGCCTCATTATTCCGTGACAACTCCCCTTGAATTCCTCCAGAGACCAGTTCAAAAACTTAAAGTTTTGTAAGAACCATGATTGGGGGTCCTCCAGGCAACAATTGTATCCGATCCAAAGTGCTCATGCAGCGGATGCATTCCTCCATGATTTCCCCATCATGTGAAATAGCCCATTTTTTTCTAAGTGCTCTCAAAAACCGGGTTTCCGATTTCGTGCAGATGGTAGCTTGGAAAAGATGAATGTATTTTTTGGACGGGGGAAGGGAGGTCTCGATTCCCCTCTCCGTTGTAAAATGCAACGGGGGAGTGCAAATGTCTCCGGGGCTTCCGCCGGAAGCGCCGAAGACTTGAGCTTTTGCAGCCCCTCCTCCGTGAGCACATAGCAATATTTTCGAGAATTTATAAACTGCATTTTTGATTATTTTAAGATATAATTGACCGTTTTATTTACTTTGTTTTGCTTTCCACGGGTGGGCGCGCATGGCAGGCCGCCTATGAGCTCCCAAATTCGGCCTGGAACCTCCGGGAATTTTGGGCTAAGCTCCATAAACTGACAAAGTCACCCAGAAATGTAATTTTAATAGCCCAAAAATATATAACACAAATACATTTAAATAGTAAAAGGTACAATTGTGCTCCTAATTACCCGCAATTTGATTTATATAGCCCCATCATAGTGAATACAAATCATTTTCATGGGAAAAAGTGTTAAAATGCCTGATTAATATGTTTGTAATGCTGGCAGCAGTCACTGCTGTAAGCAGGGTCCCACAGGCACACAGGCAGAGATCCAGGGTGATGCACATGGCTTTCTTACCCAGGAATGAGTGTGTGAAAGCTGGGTAAAAGTGCTGTGAATACCGGGAGAGAGGAGGAGCAGCAGCAGCAACAGCAGCAGCAGCAGGATGTGACCCAGAGAGCTCCTTCCAGCACCTCGCTCTCCCACCACCCAGAGGACAGGCTGCTTCAGAGCAGAGTCACTGCTGTAAGCAGGGTCCCACAGGCACACAGGCAGAGATCCAAGGCAGAGATCCAGGGTGATGCACATAGATTTCTTACCCAGGAATGGTGTGTGAAAGCTGGGTAAAAGTGCTGTGAATACAGGGAGAGAGGAGGAGTAGCAGCAGCAGCAGCAGCAGGATGTGACCAAGGGAGCTCCTTCCAGCACCTCGCTCTCCCACCACCCAGAGGACAGGCTGCTTCAGAGCACTATGTAACCCGGGAAAAAAGCTTGAAACCTGTCCATTTCATCCACATTTCACTCATGAAATGTACAGGAATCTGTCCATTTCATCCACATTTCACTCATGAAATGTACAGCAGAGTCACTGCTGTAAGCAGGGTCCCACAGGCACACAGGCAGAGATCCAAGGCAGAGATCCAGGGTGATGCACATGAATTTCTTACCCAGGAATGAGTGTGTGTGAAAGCTTGGTAAAAGTGCTGTGAATACCGGGAGAGAGGAGGAGCAGCAGCAGCAGCAGGATGTGACCCAGAGAGCTCCTTCCAGCACCTCGCTCTCCCACCCAGAGGAGAGGCTGCTTCACAGCACTATTTAACCCGGGAAAGAAGCTTGAAACCTGTCCATTTCATCCACATTTGACTCGAGAAATGTACAGGAATCTGTCCATTTAATCCACATTTGACTCGTGAAATGTACAGCAGAGTCACTGCTGTAAGCAGAGTCCCACAGGCACACAGGCAGAGATCCAGGGTCATGCACATGGGTCAGAAAAAGTCTAAGTTAACTTTTGGAAGAACCAGAGAAAAGGGGTGAAATTGTATCCCAAAATAGTGTCTCTTAAGGCGGGTAGAGTATGGGGTGACATATACAGATGAAGCACTCCAGATCAGACTCACATGGGTGTG